TATAATTTTCTTTTTGATAACTTTCTTTGGCTTACCCTCTTTGGTTATTTCTTCAGTGACAGTTACTTGTTCGCGAACTTCTTCAACTTCAGTTGGTTTTACGTATTCTGGAGCTGGTAAGGCTTTAATTATTTCTTCCACAACTTCCTCGACAGGACCTTCGGTTACTGTGGTCACCGGAGCTTTACCTTGTTCTTCGACCGTAACTTCTTCTGTGACCTGTTGCTCTTTGCCTTTGCGTTTGATAACTTTCTTCTTTATGATCTTCTTCGGCTTGCCTTCTTTTGTTACTTCTTCAGTAACAGTTACCTGTTCACGTACTTCTTCAACTTCGGTTGGTTTCACGTGTTCTGGTGCTGGCAACGGTAAGATTGTTTCTTCCACTACTTCTTCTACTGGACCTTCAGTTACTGTGGTTACTGGAGCTTTACCCTTCTCCTCAACAGTCACTTCTTCAGTTACCTGTTGCTCCTTTCCTCTACGTTTAATAATTTTCTTTTTGATTACCTTCTTCGGCTTACCTTCCCTGGTTACTTCTTCAGTAACTGTTACTTGCTCCCTAACCTCTTCTACTTCCCTGGGCTTAGCGTATGCCAGTGCTGGTAGTGGTGTAATGAGTTCTTCAACTACTTCTTCCACTGGTCCTTCCGTAACAGTAGTCACAGGTGCTTTACCATGTTCCTCAACAGTAACGACTTCCGTCACTTGCTGTTCCTTACCCTTACGTTTAATAATCTTTTTCTTTGTTGTCTTCTTCGGCTTACCTAAGTGTGTAACTTCTTCAGTAACCGTCACTTGCTCACGCACTTCTTCTACTTCAATTGGTTTGACCCGTTTAGGTTCTGGCAAAGGTGTTATTATTTCTTCCACCACTTCTTCCACAGGTCCCTCAGTGACAGTAGTCACAGGAGCTTTTCCTTGTTCTTCAACAGTAACAACTTCTGTTACTTGTTGCTCTTTACCCTTACGTTTGATGATCTTCTTCTTCGTAGTTGTCTTGGGTTTACCTAATTTTGTAACCTCCTGCGTAACTGTCACTTGTTCCCGAACTTCCTCCACTTCCGATGGTTTGGCGTATTTGGGTTTAGGCAATGGTGTTATTATTTCCTCCACGACTTCTTCAACTGGACCTTCTGTGATACTCGTCACTGGTGCTTTTCCTTGTTCCTCTACGGTAACAACCTCTGTTACCTGTTGCTCCTTTCCTTTACGCTTAATTACCTTCTTCTTAATTATCTTTTTCGGTTTTCCTTCTTTCGTAACTTCTTCTGTGACAGTAACTTGTTCTTCAACTTGCTCCACAACTGGCTTAACATACTCGAGTGGTGTAATTGGTTTGGTAAATTCCTCTGGAATTTCTTCTTCAGCTACCTTCGGATACTTTTCGTCCTCTTCCTCTGTCTTTATTTCTTCCGTCACTTCTGCTTTTCCTCGTTTTCGAACGACCTTCTTCTTCGTGACTTTCTTGGTGTCATCTTTGACCTCTTCTTCTTTCACTTTAACTTCCTCTATCTTTGGTGTCACTTCCTCGACCTCTTCGATTTTCGTAGGTACAATTTCTTCAACGTCCATAGGAGTTGTGATTTCTTCTATCGGCATAAATTGTTTCTTCGGTATTGATGGTATTTTCGATTGGACGTCCTCTAATTCTTCTTCAATGACGACGACATTGTCTTGTTCAGCTTCTGTTCCCGCTTTTTTCTTTCTGATAATCGTTTTCTTTGTTTTGATCGCCGCGGTTTCATCATCCCTACTCCCGCGCCTGAATTTAGTCGTGTACTCTTCGGTCACCTCTGTGTCAGATTCGATCGTCTGTTGCTGTGGCGTATCGTGTTTTGTTGTGTGTTGTGTGATTGTGATGTGATGTTGTTGCGCTGGTACTTCTGTGGTTTCTGAAATGTATACAGAAAAGGTGTGATATGATTAACAAATGTGTCGCCGCGGTATTATGTCCGTATGAATTCTTTTCTTTTTTGCTTGGTTTGACTTCTCGATTTCGATCCGCGAACTAGACTTCACGAACATCCCGTTTCCGACCCGTAGGCCATTCTTCTAGACAATTCTTTCTCTTCTCATCAACCGAATCAACACGATCCCGATTGGCGACGCGACGAGCATGATTTTTGTTTTGTGTCTTTGTGGTGTGGAGATTTGTATCGTCTTGTGTGTCATTTTGTGTTGTAGACCTGATGCCTTGTGTTCTGATACCTCGTGTGGTATACCTACCTTTTCTCGTCCTTTCAACATTTCCTCCGCCTAAACTCTACGGTCCAACAAGCCTACATCCGGTTTCATCCAATGGACGAATCTAAACTTCCCCGCATGAACATTTAATTAAGTTTTCCAGGTAATTATCTAGGAAACATTTCCGTGACCTTCAATGACTTAGAAATATATTGTCGAAGATATCATTCTGAATATTTTTGTCCTCTACATGTAACTACTACTTTGTACTAGTTTCAGAGATGTATGCAAAAATATGAAATATATATTCAATATTATGTATTATGTTCCGTAAATAGTTCTTTCTTAATGCTATCATTATAATCCTAATCTATTGAATTTGGTAACTATAAATTGCATTATATTCCCTTATATATTACTAAATGCAAATCTACAAATCAAACGTTTAAGTGCAATTTTTTTTGAATTTGAAACTGAAACCAAATTCAGTTTAAATGCAATAAAATCCTAAGTAATACAAACAACAAATTCGTAACATCGAATATATAATGTTAAAACATATTTTCAAATATATCTCAGAGACTGAATATGAATGATGTCATAATTAGACAAAATGTAATTAGACAAATGTATCGATTGTAAATTACTATTCAGCTTCAATTGCATGTTAGTAATCGAATGAATCATTACATTTGAATCATTGCCAGTAGTATGTAATCAAATCACATTTCGTTTAACCTTGAACAACAGTAACATACATAGGAAAAAGTTGTTCAAAACGATGACCTTGACAACATATTTCAAGGTCACCATAATCAGCGAGAAATCTCTTTTTCTAGACAATCACCAAACCTCCTCTCTCTCTTACATTAGATATCCTGTGACTCGGATTGCTAAAGTATCAGTCTCCTCAAGCCGTCCCCTACATGCGTTGTCGCTGTGTCCCCGTCTGTCCCGTCACTGGCACTCGCATATACCTTGATAGCAAGAATACTCACCGACAACTTGTTCCAGGTGCTCGGCTACGATCGAAACATTCACTAACTTCGCGAAAGGTATTACGGACTCGGGCAGATCTGACTCGAGCTCGCCGGTAGCCAGATGCTCGGTTACTATCACGCCTTGCTGAACATCGTTCACGCCTTTGGCGGTTTTACTTTCAGGCTTGCTCACTTTAAACTCGGACGCAGCGTCCTCAGGCTGGATTTCGGTTTTCAGAGCAACCTCTCTCTTAACTACGTCAGGCTGAGCAGAAGCCTCTTTTGCTACCCCTTTGATCACTTCTTTAGCTTCCTGCTCTGTGGCAGTTACCTGCGTCACCTCTAAACTCTCTGACACTTGGAATGAAACCTCAGCCGTTGCTGTTTTGCTTGTTTTCTCTACTACAAGCGTGCCTTCACTTTCCTGTGGCAGTGGTTGCAATAGCTCGATACCTTCAAATGGAATCTGTTCGGGTATTATCTTTTTGGTTTCTGGTTTCTCAGCTACCTCTAACTCTTCGGTACCTGAGGATGGTATCACTTGAGACTTCTGAGCGACTTGGATACCAAAGAGACTTGGTTTCGCTGTTTGAGTTGTAGGCTCGTCTGGTGTTGGCAGTCCCATCTCTGCTTCGCTGTAAGCTACTTCTGAGACTGATAGGGACAACAGTTCTGTTAATTGAGGTTTACCTTTTTGTTCTTCTGGAGCTTTGGTCTTAGGAAGCTCCTCGGCGCTAGTCATGGTCAGTACTTCCGAAGTTTCTGCAACTTCTATACTGTCCAACTTTGGAAGAGCTTTACGCTGTTTAGGAGCCTCTGGGTGTGGCATTTCCTTTTCTTTCTCTGTGGAGACGACTTCTGATACTGTGATGAAGCTCAATTCTTCTACGTCAGGCTTGCCTCTTTGGCCCTCTGGTTTTTCTAATTTCTGTAGCTCCTCAACGTTTGTAACTGTGAGGACTTCAGTTTTCTCTGCTACCTCTCTTCCTATCATCTGGGGCTGAGCAATCTTCTCACTGGGCTTTTCAGGAGATGGCAGAGTGTCTTCTAGTTCACTAGAGATTATCTGTGAAACTGTTAACGATGTCAGCTCATCTAAACTCGGTTTTCCTGTCTGTTCTTCAGGTAATACTGGTTTCTCTAATTCCTCGACGTTGCTTACGGTTAGGACCTGGCTTGTCTCAGCTACTTCTCTGCCGGTTAACGCTGGCTTAGCTGTCACCGTGCTAGGTGTGATCGTCTTCTCCAACACCTCTTCTGTTTCGTGTGACACTGTCTGAGAAATAGTCAACGACGTCAGTTCTTCGACGTTAGGTTTGCCTTTCTGTTCTTCTGGAGCTTTCATCGCCGTTAGCTCCTGAGTACTGATCATGGTCAACACTTGCATTGTCTCAGCTACATCACGACCAAGCAAGCTTGGCTGTGCCATCTTCTCTGTTGGTACCTCTGGACTAGGCAGTACGTCCTCCATTTCAGTGGACACCGTTTGCGATACTGAGAGGGGCACAAACTCTTCCAGGCCAGGGACTCCTCTTTGTTCACCAGGTTTCTTGTCTTCTGTTAGGATGTCCACGTTACTCATAGTCAGTACTTCCATTGTTTGAGCTACATCCCTGCCTATTAGGTTCGGTTGAGCCTCTCTTTCGACTGGTACCTCTGGTGTAGGCAAAGTGTCCTCTGCTTCATGAGACACCACTTGTGAAACAGTCAAAGGTGCTAGCTCCTCCACTTGCGGCTTGCCTTTCTTCTCTTCTGGAGCCTGTGGTGCGAGTAGTTCTTCAGCACTAGCCACTGTCAACACCTGCATCGTCTCAGCGACATCTCTAGCCAACAGACTAGGTTGGGCTGTCTTTTCTTTAGGCACTTCTGGTACCGGTAAAGCTTTTTCAGCTTCACCAGACACTACGTGAGACACTGTTAATGGAGTCAGCTCATCTACTTTCGGCTTTCCTTTCTGTTCTTCTGGTTTCATTAAGGCGAGATCCTCTGTCTCTGCTATAGTCGTTACTTGAGTAGTCTCAGCAGCCTCTCTACCAAGGATGTTGAAATCTGCTTTTTGGTCCTTAGGCGTGGCTTTCAAGGTGAGTATGTCTTCTGCTTCATTAGATATCACTTCGCTCACTGCTACAGATGTTAGTTCCTCTACTTCCAGAGTACCTTGTTGTTCCTTTAATTTTGTCATCTTCTCTAATTCTTCTGTGGTCGCTGCAGTGATTACCTGTAAGACTTCTGGAGCCTCTCTACCTGTTAGGCTAGGTTGTGCTTGTTGTGTCTTGGGAGCAACGTCAGTTGGTAGAACGTCTTCGATTTCATTGGAAACTACTTCGGTGACCATTACAGTGCTTAGTCCCTCGAACTGGGGTTTGCCCTTTTGTTCCTCAGGCTTGAACTTTCCTTCGAACGTTTCCTCGCGTTCTCCTACAGTTGTCTCTGTCTTTACCGCGGTCTCAATCAATGTCTGAGTCATAGTCGCTTGTGTGGACATCTGTTTTTCCTCTTGAATTTCTTGGATGCTCTGAATGGTTTCCGTCATAGAGCCTACTACTGTTTCATGGAGGCTAATGTCTTGAGTAGCTTTGACACCTTCGCGTTTAGGGGCCACATCAAAGGTAGTCTCTTTGTCTTCACTGATTGTCTCGGACACTTGAAGAGACTTTACCTTTTCGATGTCTATATCAGCCTTCTGGGTCTGTGGCTTGAATACACCCTCAAATGTTTGTTCAGTTTCCTCCACTATATTCTCTCTGACGATGATACTCTCGAAGGTCTCCTGACCTGGAATAGCCACCTGTGGAGTCATAGTGATTTCTTGGGTCTTGTCAGGGATGTTCACTTGGGATTCAACCATCGTTGTCTCCAGGATACTACGTTCAGCAATGATCGTGCTGGTAGCTGTTTGAGTAACATCTAGCTTCTTTTCTTTTAGTATTGACTCTACTTCCGCAGATGTTACCTCCGTCACGGAGACACCATGCCCTTCCTCGAAGGTTGTTGTTGCAGTAGAAGTAACAGCCTTTGGATATTTGTCAAAGGTTCCTTCGCTCTCCGCACTAGGTGTCTCTTCTACAATAACAGGCTGCAGAGCGTCTCTTGTAGGCTGTGCCTTAGCTTCATGCTTCTCTAAAGGTCGAACTTCTCCAGTGCTCTGATCCACGAACACTTCAGCTTTTTGTGCGATATCCATGCCAACCTTCGTCAGAGTTACTTCAGCTTTGTTTTCTTCACGTTTCTCAATAGTCATAGTGTCCTCTTTATCTTGGGTAATAACATGGGCAACAGTGATACTCTTGCCTTCAACGAAAGTGACAGTGGCGCTACGTTCGTCTAACTTCATTTTCTCTTCGAAAACGGTGCCGTGTTCTTGAGGCACAGTTTCGCTGACATCAACACTCTCCAAAGTTGTCTGAGTGGGATGTGCTTCGGCAGCTGTTGGTTTTATAGGTGCAGGTACTTCGCCAAGACCTTCTCTAAGATTGACCTCCATCTGCTCGGCGACTTCCTTGCCCTCCATGGCTGGTTTAGCGGTTTCTTCTCGAGGTTTCTTCATCTCCGATAAATCAGCCTCGACATCTTGGGTGGTTGTTGCTTCTGTGATAGCGATGAATCGGTTCTCATCTACCGTCACACGAGCACTGGTCTTTAGCAAAGTTAGTTCCTCAACTTTGTCCACCTCTTTCTCGGCCAGCACCTGTTCTATTGTCTCTACTGTCTCGAAAGGTTTTTGGCCAACTTGAGCTGTAGCTGTTGTGGGTTTGATGACGTCCACTTTTCCAGTACTCAATTGTGGAATTATCTCGGATCTCTCAGCTACCTCGTGTCCAGAGACTATCGCCGGTACAGCTGATCGAGTCTTTTCTTCTAGGACAGTCTTCAGGACCCCTTCCCGATCAACAGCGCTGACTTCCGTCACAGTGGTCACGCGTTTGCCTTCTTCGATGGAGATTTCTACCTGTTGCACAGTTGGCTTGAATTTGCCCTCGAAAGTGTCCTCTTGATCTTGGACGATGTCCTGTGTGACCAGGACACTCTGGTACACTTCCTGCGTCGGCAGTGCTTTCTTTGCGTCTGGTTTCTCTAGAGTTACATCAGCTATAGAATCTTGGATAGAAACTTTAGTTGTTTCAGCGATCGTGTGAATAATGTCTAATCCGACTGACGCAGCATGTTTCGACGGCGCTTCTTCGGAAATGTACAGAGACTCCTTGTCAGCTGGTGTCACTTGGGACACTGTGACAATGTTTCTACCTTCCTCCAGGTCTACCACCGCTTTCTTGTTCTCAGGCATCGATCCCGGAACGAATTTGTCCTCGCTCTCCTGGACAATCGCTTGCGACTCTATCAAAGGAGTGAAGGGAACATGTTTTGGAATAGCTGTAGCTTCTGATGGCTTCTCGTCAACGAAGTCTCCAGTGCTAAAATCAACCACCTGCATTGTCGTTTGCGCGACCACGTGGCCACCGACTAGGCTTTTATCTGCAGTCTTCATTTCTGGCAATTCTGTGGTCTTATATTCTTCCTCCTTGTCCTCTAAAACTACTGTAGACACTTGAATACTCTGATCTTCAATTACTGAGAGATCCGCCAAAGCCTGTGTTGGCGTCTTATCCTTACTTAACACACCTTCCGCCTCTGTAGGTTGTGTTTCTGAACTGATCACTGCCTCTAGAGGAACACTCGATGGAACAGCCGAAGCTGACACTGGCTTTAGTTCCTCTAATTTGCCTGCACTAGAGTCCACAGTGACTTCGGTCTTCTCTGCAATCACGTGACCAGCGAGCTGAATACTGGCTTGTTTTTCAGAAGGTTTCTCAGGGATGCGAAGAACATCTTCCTTGTCAGCTGGTATTTCAGTGGTAGTCGTAGCGCTGATTATCTCGTTGATGGATACTTCAGCTTTATTAGACACTACTGCGTTATCTATGAATTCTTTCTCGGTTTCAGAAACTATAGTTTCTGTCTGCATGATGCTCTCGAACGGTAGTGTCTCCTCTTTAGCAGCGGCTGTAGTTGGCGCCGGAACGGTCAAGTCACCGGAGACATCTGATGGTGTGACTTCCATTGACTGAGCGACTTTGTGCGCATCGAAGGCTGGAGTAGCTTGTTCTCCGTGAAGTTCGAGCTTCTTGAAGTATTCTTTCTCCTTGTCTGACACGATTGTCTCGGTTACAGTGACTCCTATACCTTCTTCGAAGGAAACATCGACGATCTTCTTATCAGGCTGCACAAAGTCTTCCATTGGCTTCTCTAAATCGCCAGTAGCTGTCTCAGTAGTGATCATACTGTGGAAAGTGATGTGATCAGTGGTGGCTGTAGCAGAGGTCGTTTCCTCGCGTTTTAGCAGATCAACGTTATCAGTGGTTGTTGTCTCACTGATCTCTGCCACGATGTGAGTTGGAATGTCGAACGTGGCTGACTTGGTTTCTGGCTTCTCTGCTTCTGGCAGGCTAGTTTCTTTGTCCCCAGCTGTCACGGATGAGACTATCAAGCCTTCTCCTGTGACAAACTCGAGTTTAGCTGTTTTGTCAGTTGGTTTGACTTCAGTAAATGGTGCCTCGGTCTCTCGAGTTTGGACTTCTTCTGATATTGCAGCTTCAATTGGTAGTATTGTAGTCTTAGGCTTAGTCTCAGGGATTGATTCTTTTAATAACTCGCTCAGTCCAGTGTCACTGGTCACTTCGAAAGTAGTTGCTACTCCTTGAGCAACGATGTCTACGGTAGCTTCCATGCTTTTAGGTTTCTCTTCTCCAGTGAATATTCCTTCTTTGTCTTCTGGGTATGTCATTCCGACAACTATACCTTCTCCTTCCTCGAAGACTACGTCTACTTTCTTGGTGTCAGGTTTAACGTCTTCCAGTAAAGTGGATTCCTTTTCGGACACTGATACTTCTGTCTGTTCTACCACTTCCAGTCCGCTTTGTTGTTGACTCGCGTGCTCTTCTTTCGCTTTTTCCTCCTTCAAGACATCAATGTTGTTAGCAATGATAGTTTCCTCCATTTCGGCTACCTCGTGTCCACCAGTAATTGCCATAGTGACTTGTCTTTCCTTCGGTAGATCTTCAACTTGAAGATTCTCCTCGCTTAACACGGTCATCACCTCGGTTACTGTGAGTTTTTCGGATTTAGAGCAGATCTCCATTTCTGCACTCTGTGTCACTGGCTTGGTGTCCTCCTCTCTGATCTTCTCCGTTTCAGCGATGTTCGTTTCAGTTACAATTAATTCTTCAAGAGCATCTCGTTGAGGAACAGCTGTTCCCAGTTTTGGTTGTTCAGTACTGATATCGGCGGTGCTCTGCTCTACTAAGGTCTCCGATTTTAGCGCTACTGTGTGACCTGATATCAGTGGCTGTGCCGTGTAGTCCTGTGGTTTTTCGTCTGGACTGTAAATGTTCTCCCTATCGTGAGGAATTATTTCCAACACAGTGGCACCTGGTCTAGGCTCCGTCAGTTCTACTACTGCTGTCTTGCCATCAGGTTTCACGTCTATTTTATAGAGATCTTCTTTTTCAGCGACTTCTTGCATGGCTATTGTTAAACTCTCCAAATGCACATGAGATGGTTGAGCCACTCCAGAAGCCGGTGTCTCTTCTGGCACGTATTCTCCAGTTGGTGAATGTGTTCTGACTTCTTCGAACACCGGGGCTACTTGAGTGGCGAACTCAGTACTGGCATAGGCGCCTTTTACCTCCGAAATCTCAGTGTATTCAGCTTCCTTCTCGCTGGCAACAACCATTGTAGTGTGAAGACTCTCGATTTCATTTAACATCACCTCAGCTACTTTAGACTCAGGAACCTTGTCTTTCTGAACGGTAGCTAAGTCTTCAGCCACCACGGTTTCATCTACAACAGTCTCTTGCAAGCTGATGGGTATTATCTTAGCTATTCCGGATGATGGAGCGTCCTTCGAAATTTCTCCCAAATTGTCCTCTGGTTGTGTCATCTCTACTTCCAAAGAGACAACGGGGTGTGTGGGTACAGTCTTTCCTCTATGGGACTCTGGCATCTCAAAGATCTTCAGGTCAGCTTCCTTTTCTACTGACGTTGTCTGGAACACTTCTACACTTCTGATGGCGTCGTAGCTGGTATCCACTACTCTTTCTTCTGGTTTCACCACTTCCTCCATCTTTGTCTCTTGATCATGTATCAGAGTTTCTTGCACTACTTTAGCTTCTGTCAGCTGTACCGTCACTGTTCCACTTTCTTGTACATACTTCAGTTCGTCTTTAAAGTCTGACGGGTAATCGGCTGTATGAATCTCTGAGACCATGACATGTTCTTCCGGTCTGATCGAAGTCTCTGCTAAGACTTTGGTAGGCTTCTGGTCTGGTTGATAGATCCCTTCAGATTCTTGAATAATGGTGCTAGAGATAGACCCTATCTCTAGAGAAGATATAGATGTCTCGGCTGTCTTGGTCGCTGGTTTGTCGCCTGGCTGATAATCTTGCTCCTTCTCCGATGGAACAGTCTCCACAGTCACTGCAGATGATATTTCGACAATATTCAAATCAGCCTCTACCTTCTTAGTTTCTTCTATCGTCAAATCGGTTTCAGTATCTTGAGTCTGTACTGTGGACACAGAGACTCCTTCTAGTAGGGTAACATTCGGCATAGCTTCGAAAGTGTCCACCTTCCTCTCGGAAACATACACTCCCTCGCTTTCTTGAATAACGTTTTGTTCGATCACAGCTGTCTCGTTGCCATAAGAGATACCAACCTGAGCCTTTTGACTAGGTGGCAGTCTGCCTGGCACGTATTCACCTTCTTTCTCTGGCGCGTGCATTTCTTCCGTCACCCGTTGCTTCTGAGAGATCACTGTCTGGGTAGCTATTTCAGTAGGAACTATTAATTCCGGATAGTATTTTCCTGGCTTATCTTCTGGCCGAACTTCTTCGACAACTAGTGGCTCCACAGCGGTGACATTCACTCTAGGTTTAGCTGGTGCTGTCTTCAAAGGCTCTAACTTATCTTCTACCAACCCCTCTTGCACCTCGTACACAGACAATCCTATCTGTGATAAGACAGTCTTCTCAGCCTCAGCAGCCAAAGGAGTCACGAAGTCTTCAGTTGGCACCTCCTTCTGACTGACCATTGTCTCATAAACAGTGGTAGCTTCTTGAACAGTCATGCTGACGTCTGCCGTCCTGCTAAGTTCCTGCTTAACCGTTGTCAGACTCGACACTCTAGCGTCGTTTGTCAGAATCTCACTGACGACTAGACCTTCCTTAGGGACTATCCCTGGGGTGGCTTCATAAGATATCGGTTTGAAAGTGTCAGAAAATTCTCCAGTAGACGCTTGAACAGTTGTCTCAGTGGTCGAGTATGGTTCAACAGGTGAGATCGAAAGGGACGCCTTGCGTTCGACAGGCTTCACCTGGCTGATGTCCGTTTCCTTCTCTTGAATAGGTACCAGTTGCTCTGTCAAGGCGGTGACGGTGTCCATCGTGAGCTTAGCTTTTTCTAATTCCGGTTTGCCAGGTGCTTGTTCAGTGATCTGGTCTAATGGCACTATTTGGTGACGCTGGCTAGGGACATTCAGCATGATAGAGGCAACCGACTTGTCCTCTTTCACTTCGAATTCTTCGATCTCCTCTAACTCGAGCTCATCCCGGCCGACCTGCGGTCTTTTCGCTTTCAGTACCTTGCGAGCTTCCTCTACAACCTCTTCTTCTTTCTCTTCCTCTTCCTGTACGTCTACATGTTTCTCAATTTCATCAACTTTCTTTTGCTTTCGAGTCAGTCTGCCCTTCTTGTCCGTTTCTACGATAACGGTCTCTATCTCTTCCTCGATTTCCTCCGCGTCCTTTCGCTTCCTCTTCTCGATCTCCTCGACTTCTTCGATCGTCTCTACAACCTGAACCCCCTCGCCCCTATCTTCCTTCCCCTCCTCGATCTGTTCGCGCAGTGTTGTGTGTGCCTGCCGTGTGTCCTCGTATTCTGTGGAAAGTATGTGAGAATATTCGTGTGAATTTCCGCGCGAGCGCACGTGCCAAGAAAACAAAAAGACCCATGTCCCCTCTAAAATCACGTTCTCGCTCAGGCTCTCTCGCTCAGCACTTTTTCCTCACTCTTTCGCTCGCACTTTCGTTAAGTGGTGAGAACAAATCGGACAAGAATTAAAGAATAAAAAAAAGACAATTCTACGTTGTTGCTGGTACTACTGTTGATTTACTACGGTTTCGTTTTGTTTTCACTTTCGTTTCATTATTTTTTATCCTTTTTCTTTTTCTTTTTCTTTTTCTTTTCTTTTCATTCGTTTGGCTTCTTTCAGAGTTCAAGACAGACTCTCCATGCGACGGACCATAACCCAGCGGATGCGGCTTGCTAAGACAAGAATTCGTGCGTGTCAACGTAACAATAGTCAAGTCAAAAAAACAACCTACGGACAAGTGCACGCCGGACGAGCTTTGTGTGTTTGGCAAAGATTAAACGGAAGTGAGAGATTGAAGAGGTTTCTTTTGGGAAGAGTATAGCGGATAGAGTGGTGTGAATAGCGTGTTTTTGTGTTTTCCATTCGATGAGAGGTTCCAGAGGTATCGTACTCAGTTTTTCGTTTGGGAGGATCGTTGAATGAGTTCGTGGGAAATTTTCGTTTCATTTTTTAATGTTTTAGTATATAATTAAATTCAAATTAATATGAGAATATCTGTGGTAGATTTGATGATAATACGGCTATACTGGATATGTCGCTTTTCTTAAAAGAATTGGGAATGTTTAAATTAAGTGGAATGTAGAATGAAATGTGAGTAAAAGTTTAAATAAACGAGGAATGTACTGTGTGTAGAAGGTGTTAGATAAGTAATTGCGAAATAATTATTATAACTTTTGAATTAAATCACTACGAAAATTGATGAATAGTTTAGTAGTACTAGAAATGATTTTTGTATCATCGACATTAGAAGAAACTCATTCAACAATCAGTTTCCATTCATTATAACGATAAGTATTAATCATTCCAAGACAAATGAATATCATAAACCAATAGTTAAATCGAGTTAAGATGTTTAAAGAGAATTCGAATAAAAATTTGAAACATTTTCATATTACTATTATCTTATTACAACTTCTAATCATATAAAACTAATTTCTAGTTAATCCCACTTTTCCTAAATCACGCTATACAGTAAATAAACGACAAGAAAGAGAATGCAGAAGAAAAAATAAAGAATTTAAATCCACCTTTATCGTCAAATCACGATGTCTCTGGAACAGACATTTTGCAGTACATAGTGTGCAGTGTAGCTGAGTGGCAGGCACTAGGGCATTCGGTGTTTTAATAAACAGGTGGTGCGTGTTGTGAGTATCGTGTGGTAATTGTAAGAAAATAGTAAAGGCCGGCCAGAAGTCAAACCAACATGAACACAAAAAAAAATAATAAAAGATGCTTGTCTGTTACACATCGTGCTTACTACTAACAGAAAAAAAAGGAACAGAAAGAAAAACGCCAATGGAAAAAAGTACAATCTCATTCTACCATTCGTATGTAGGACAACAATGTTACATAGAAATTCATGTGCGTGTGTAATCTGAATGTGTAACAGTAACAAGTAATACAGATTGTAAGAAGAACAAGTTGCTGTCTACTGATTACCAAATAAGTAAATAACTCGGAACCATGAAATATCGTGTACGTAAAAACACGCAAATCGTCTACGACGAACATACCAAAGATCGTCGTGTGTATGTATATAAATTAGAATTATGTATTACAATCAAAATAATCAAAATTTTTTATTAATCACGATGGTATTTTCACACGCAGGTTATTTCACAGTTTTCTCTTGTTTCTTTACATCTACGTTCACGAGGCACGCAGAAATAGTGATGTACATAGAGATGTTAGGGCACACCAGATGGACGAAAATAAATGGAACACGCGAATCGATGCAACCAAGATTTCATTTTACTTACATTGAAAACTGTACTAGCAGCGCGGAAGCTCGTATCGCGGAAGCGTCGGATTTCGTTGGGAACGGACGGTGATTTCAGTTTCGGGCGATTAAAGTTAATGAAGGGATGGCGGAGCGTTAAAACGGAAGGGTACGGCGCGTGGAAAGCATAGCGGCTTAGGCAGACATATTTTACTGCTTATTATTCGATCAAGTAAAGCTTCATGCATCTGAAAGAATAATAAAATAAAATCATTACGTAGAGACCGCGTCGTGCGATCGATACGTGCGCATTTCACAATTACATTTCTCTCTTTTCTTTTTCTGTTTTTCTTTTCCACGTATTACACGTATTACTACGGTCAAAATACAAGTGAGCGTGAAATGAGGTAAATATTGATAAAGAAAATATTGGAATGATTTCTGTTTTTAATGGATTTTAGATGAATCGTAACGGATGAACGATTTTGTATCAGAATTGCATTCCGTGCGAAGTGATATTTCTACAGAGTGATCTGAAAGAAATAACCGAAGAATTTTCGATGGGCAGTGTAAACAGATGAAGCTATTAAACAGTTGATTATGAATTGAAGAGGTATGTTTTTGTTTTAATTTTTCTGAATGTTTTATAGCTACGAATTCTTCAAGTTTCTTCGGAGATCACCCTTTCCTAAAGTTTTTTTAAAGAACCACACTGTAATTTGTCAAACTTGGGATCACTTATTTGATCAGAAGAGATTTTTTTTAAGGAAAAGTAATCACTCAAGTAAAATTTAGTATTATGGTGCCAATAAAGTAAAGTAGACGAAATTTTACTAAATATTAAAATAACTAAGTAAATACAAGATAATAAAATCGTATGAAATCCTTAAGTGATCTCAAACTTTCCAAAAAATGGTATACAGCGTGTTGAGACGAGTTATGTAATGAACATAAGCAACCGAGCGTAAAAGAATAAACGAATAAAACGCAGTAAATATTTTTCCCTTTCATTCCTGAAAAATCTGTTTCTCGAAAAATTCAATTTCGAACGTTGAATTTATCAAGGTATCTGTTAATTTATTCCACCCTTATTTTCTCCTCAATCTATATATACGGAAACTGATTACGGAAAACGAGATTAAAGTAATAAATAATTACGGAGTTCATCCACAGTCACAACTTTTGTCCCAGCATGCTATATTTGATAAAAATATGAGAAAAAAAACGGAGATACTTAATTCAGTTTCGGAATGTTGAATCTACGATACGCAAGGAGATCAAAGCGAATGTAAAGTGGAACTAGTAAATGCGGATGAGAAATGATCTTGATGCGGTGCCGACTGTCCGGACACTGCTGCGTTTCTCGGAGATAATGACAAGATAAAAAAAAAAGATTAATATTGCTCTCCATTCATATAACCGTATGACCGATTATTCGAACGTATAACCCATGCACTGAAACTCGTGGCTTCAAACCTTTAATGTCTCGAATATCCTGCGTGCGGACGGCTTTTCTTTCGTCCCTCCTCTCTGTAACCAAAAGATCGTTTTTTCTTGCTTGGTAGGAACGTTCGGGAAACGAGGGGATCAAGACAAAAGACAAACGAAATAAAAACCGGAGAATAACACAAATAATATCACACCAAACGATTATGGCACACCATGAAAATCATTCTCTTTTATTCGATAAATATCAAACGTACACAACGATGTAAAATACAAACAGTTCGATGCTTCTTTTCAAATGTATTCGTTGTATAAAAAGAAAAAAGGAAATAAAAAAAATATAAGACGCATGCTTATGTCTATAGCTGTAAAGCAAAGAAGTATTTACAAGAAACAAAAAAGTGGGAGAAGGATAATGTACAAGTTGCGTTTATTAGGCAGCCACGCAAGCACACACCAAAGTCTATGGTCTTTTATTAAAGGTATATCTAGGGAGAACGATCGCAACGGATTTGTGATGCTGCAAGTCCGAAGATAGTTAATTGTCTCGGCGGTTCTTTTCGTTTCAAACCACGCGCCAGGCAGTCTCGACTTACCCATGATATGGACCTCCGTCTTGCGGACGATATCCACTCGTTCCGTGACACGTTCCTCCGTTTCAACCTGAAGAAGATGTTTTTTTTTACAAAACTCCTTCCATTGTGTACACATTATCCAGTCACGATTAATTCAAAGACATTTATTATTTAAAATAACGTGCTACACTTTGGTAACGTGGAATACTTAAAAGACTAATAACTTAATTAATAACTTTCTAAATTCTTTTCAACTTTAAAGATCTTCTTGTTCAATAATCTTATTGGTCTCTGTCTGTGAAATTCAATTATTCAACTATTGCGGACTATCATTAATTAGTATTGATAAAGTATTTTAGAATAAGTGAACCTTAGTAAGGTTTTGCATAAAAAAATAATGATTCGTATAATCATTGAAAGAAAGATGTTCAAAAGAAAACAGAAATAAAGAAAAAATAATAACAGAAAAATATTGGAAAATCTGGTGTACGATTAGATTCTAGACAAAACACTGCATGACTGTAAACAATAATCCAAAAGCGTATAATAAACTAGAAAACTACTCATTTCTTCCAAAGTACTGAACTATCAATAATTCAATTCCGTTTAACACTAAAATTACCGAGCAATTAAAGTGACTTATTTCCAGTCTTTTATAAAACTTAAAACAATACATTTTTTGACATTCGAAGGACCTCCTAATCTCGTATCTATACAAATACACAAATTTAATTGAAATTCTCTCTGAGAAACGTTTTCACAATTGTAATATTCGCAAAATAAACATTCTGAAGTGGCTCTATTTGATCTGCTTAGTAGTTTTAGTGTTAACTCCACGTCCCCTACAGCACGTTGGTCATTCCAGCCCACCCGAAAACCGTCGAATCTCCTTACTTCCGTAGCTTCCGTGACCTCCCAGGCGCGTGGCCGGAAGTCCTCCGGCGCGAAGTGCGTGAGCACCTCCTCTACGGTGACGTGTTGCAGCTCGATCATCCTCATGAACGCACGGAAGCCTACGGTGGCAGCCACTACGCTCTCATCTGTAGTCGTCTCCTCTGTCAAGACTTGTGTGATCAATGGACCGTGGCCCTCCCTCTCCACCAACTGGACAAGAGCGTTCTGCGCCTCGGGTGTCTTCAGCGCAGGGAAGTTCTCGGTTCTGTACAAGCTCTCGTTGATCTCGTTCACGGTGACACCTTGGCGCACCAGGAAACCTATGGTAGCTAACTCTCGAAGAGGAGCCTCTCCAGGACCGAATTCCTTTGCGTGGAGCGTGTCCATTATCTCTTCGACCTCTCTAGCGATGTTCTCTCTTTCTCTCTCCACGATTTCCTCGATTGAGATTTCCTCTCTTATCTTTACTTTGTCCTTCTTCCTCTTCTTCGGCTTCTCTTCTACGATAGCTTTCCTAGGCTGTTCCTCGAATAACTCTTCCTCGGTCACCACGGTCTTCTTTGCTTTTCTTTGCTTCGCTTCTATTCGCCTGACCTCTTGCACGTTGGTTTCCGTGTGGACCTCGGATATCGAGACGGTTTCCAGTGTTTCAGAGGTGATCTGGGCACGGTCCACGATGGATTCCACTACGAAGTCCGGCGCTAGGTCCTCGGTGGTCACCTCTGAGACGACGACCACACCTTCGCGTTCCTCCACCACACGCTGCGCACGCTCCTCGGGCTTCGGGGCCAGTTCTCGAGGCTTCTGATCGTCGATTTTCTTCAAGGACGGCGTTGCTTCTGTCATTACTGGCTCTTGCACCGGTACTATCTTCTTTGCTCGCGATACCTGGGTGAATTGTTGGAAATTCGGAATTATTATTGGGTTTACTTTCTTTGTTTCTTGCGTGTAATGACGAGAGGGTAGAGCATTCTTTGGGATATGGTATTTTATAGATTCTTGTACAGTGCGATGCTACGTGTTTTTTTAAATATTTTAAGATATTAATGGAATATTGCGAGGTACCTTAAAAGGGATAGTTAGAAAGCATTTATTTTAGGAATTGTATAAACAGTAAATGCCAAGTTTTCTTTTAAGAAGTTTTGAGATAAAACATGATTGTTGATCAATCATATGAAATATCTACATTGGTAGAAATCAGTGCGCTTTTATACTTTTCATGTTTTTTATATTTATTGAAAATGATGAATAATGCTCTTTATCTTTTTCGGATTATTTAGTTGTGAGTTAATACTTACCTCTGTAGGCTTCTCTTCGATGATTTCCGTCGACTCTAGTACCTGCGTTTCCTCGATGTCGACGATTTTCCTGAAAAAATAATTTACAATTAATAATTTACAAATGTAACGTAAATAAAATGAATTGTTTTTGTATACTGAAATAAAAGCGAATTCACTAACTTTTCTTCCGGCTGTTCTTTAGGACTCAACTTCTCTTTGCGCACTTCCTTCTTGTCAACTTTCACGCGCTCAGATTTGATCTTCTCCTTCGTTTCCTTGGCCTTCTTCAGCTCGGGCTTCTTCTTCTTCGGTTTCGGTTTGACTTCTTTGATCTCTTCCTCGACAACTTCTTCTTCCTCATAGAACTTATTGTCACCCGTTATGTCTATTGAAAAAAAAGTACGAGTATTGTTTAATAATTTTTAAAAAACCTTTTCAAGTGAAAATGTTCCTCTTGTTTCGATATAAAAATGTAATTGCCGAATAATTAATAATTAGCGATAAAAATTTAACTATCGAATAATTAATAACTGATGATCAAAATTTAACTATTGAATAATTAGTAATTAGTGATCCATAAAAATGAAATATAATATTGTCCATTGCATTCACGAATTGCATAAAAAAATAAAGTAAAAAGTATAAAGGATAATGAAAAACATGTAATTTTACGTAACGTAACATGAAATATAACATTCCCTAGTATTATAAAATTATAATGTAACTCACCTGTCACGCGCAGCTTAGCTTTTGTGGTGGCCAATCCAATTTCGCTGGTGGCTTTGCAAACGTAAGTGGCATCGTCTTCTTCGGTCGCGTGTTTGATAAGAAGCGATGTTTTCCTGTCTTCTTCGAAGATACGCACCTTTACGTTCGGCGTGTTCATCACCAGCTTGTCGTTCTTGTACCATACAACGTCTTGAAATCGATAAATATATCGTTATTACACGAATACGTATGCTATAGTTTAATTTTCAAACAATTTAATTTGAACAATCCAATTCATTCCAATAAGAGTATTCTTTTATTTAAATTAATTCATTCATTCTATGATAAATAATTAAACTAATATGATTAATCGATTGAAACACAACAATAAAGTTGTCAATGAATCAAATTTATTTAAAATTTGCATTTTTATAATACCTGGAGCAGGATTGCCGGAATACATGCACTCGAACACCACGCTTTCACCTTCCCTCGCATAAACGTCCGTTATTTCTTGAATGAATCGTGGTACAGATTGCGTGGCTGAAAAGGGAAACGAGAATCGAATGAATAGATCATTCATTGAAAACAAATCACGTAAATCGATTTACCTGATGTTTTGCTTGGTGATTATGCAACTCGCGTGACCCCGATGTCAGTAGTCTGGTTAGCCAAGAAAAGAACGAAAATACAAGACACACGTACACGCAGAAATGGATCATGCGATAACAATGATTAACCCTTAACAATTGAATATACTTTCGTAGAATTGTAATAATGATAATTATTATTATCACTACTCTTGCAATAAAACAAATACTCTCGATTCTCTATACAAATAAATTTAAAAATACAATTCAACATTTAATGAGTTGCCAAGGATTAAATAATTCAAATCACTAAGAAAACAAACTAACTTTACATGAATACATAAAACATATTAATTTAATCTGTTAGATGTGCAACAATTCGTCAATAAACTACCTGACATGGTGCCTCTCTCGTCTTCACTGTGATGATCGCTACAAGATACCTCGGACGCCGATATGTTTCCTGCCAGTCCGAGGTTTCCGCTGCATTGGCTTTCCAAAAGCAAAAATTCCTGCAATTCCTCTTGACTATCCGCCGTGTGCAGTTGCTGGAACGCCTCTAAATCGATTTCCCTTGGCTCCAGCGGGTACATCTTCGGGTCCATCATCAGATTACCGATTCGCCGTTCCTTCGACCATCTGGCTACTGGTATTCTAGATTTTGGGTATGTGTGATACTTTCTTGCGTGATCGTACTCCAACGTCGTCTCCATCATTTTCCCCGAGACAATTTTGCTGTGTCCACTTCCAGTAGAAGCTTCGCTATTCTCTTCGATAGGCGACAAATAAAATCCAGGCTCCGGGACGTTTAAAAAATCCGGATGCATTCGTGTGTGGTTCCTCTTTTCAGACCTCGGAGGCGGGAATTCGCTAAAATCCAGCACAATCTTCTTCCTTCTTTCGTTTCTCAGTACTTCGATCACGGATTCACTTTCAGTCTTCATATTTTCAACGTTTTCTATTATTTTACAAGCGACAGCGTGTTCAACGAACTCCTCTTTCACTTTACTCCCTCTAGCCACCCTAGCGGCGGCGGCCATCTTGTCGGCCTTCGCTGACTGCTTCGAACTCTCCGTTCTCGTTGGAGAATCCGATTTTTTTGCCGGTTTCTTTTTCTTCTCGACTACAACACTGTCAGAAAGCTTCGCGCATTTCGATCTGATCGGTGATGGAGACCTAACCTTCTGATTTTCAACGTCCACATCGTTTCTCGATCCCCTAGATGGAGATTTCTGCGATGGCGCACGTAACCTTGATTTCTGTGCGCTCAATTTTTCTGAACTACTTACTTGCGATTCTTGTTTTATATTTATAGATACGGTAGTCGAATGTTTTGATTCGATAGTGTTTTTCGTGAAACGATCTTCCGAATATTCGGAAATTGTTTCTCTGCTCGTTTTACTCTCCCATTCAGAATTGTTTTCTTCATCATCTATAATAACAATTGACGATTTGTAGTTTCCTTCGTCGAATTCGTGTTCAATGTTTTTCTCCGTTGATTGTATTGTCGTTTCTTTGATGGATGTGTTCATCTCCCAGGAATATCTCGTGATGTTTATTTCCTGTTCGACTCCCATAGAGTCAGAGTATCTTCTGGTTAAATAAAATCCTCTCGGAGTTTCTTCGTCTTCCTCGAAACACCTCTTACCTTCATCGTCGATGTTCATCAGTGTCCTAGTTGACGAGAACTCGCTGACCATCGTCGAACTGTCACGTTGCGAGCTCTCGTCGCGGATCGCGCGATCGTCCAGACTGTCAGTCGAGAAACTGCACTCCGGTTCACTCAGCATGCAATCGATACCATCAGAATGGCCCTTACCTCTGAGAGCTTCTTGCATTTCCTCCATGTGGGCAACCCACGACGGTTTCCTGTATTCCTTCGTTCCGAGGATTCCTGGTTCGACAGAGACATCGATTAGAAACGCGGTTCAACGCTTCGACCCTTTCAGCTCCGTCTTTGTAACCTTTCTTTCGCGAGTGTATAAGCGTTTTCTTCGGATTAGAGCGATATTTGTCTTTGGCCTGTAAGTGAATCTGCGAAAGCAGTTTTCATCTTTTGTTTTACTTTTTAGTTTCACTTGGGAGTGAATGTTGTAATTTATTACTAAAGAATTGTTTATTTACCGGTGAAAGTATTGGAAACATCTTGTAAAATATATAGTTCAACTAGTACTGGATAATTATGATTATAAATATAATATTAAGAATATTGTCATTGTATATTAATGTTACAATAATAAAAAAATTTGATGGAATATTTAGGACCACTGTTTCACAATTTGAAACGCTTGAAAATACGCTAATCCAAAACATGAAACCTTTCCGAAAGGTTTTCATAATAATTTCACTAACCACAGTCTCTAGTAACAAATTCCACTTTCAATATCAATAATCTCCAGATAATCGGAGCTTCGAATGCAAAGGTAGTATTTGAAGATCTCTAGCTTCCAGAATACAAAAATATCGTCTTTTCGTTGACTTACTTACAAGACAAAGAGAAGACGGAGCTCAAAGGGCCCAGTGAGTTAGCAGAACGTTCGGATAAAAAAGAATATTAAGAAAAAAAGTGTAGGTGAAGGATGTGAGTGTTCAGTGTGAGTCTGATATGATCGTAAACGGGAGGTGCGGGACATATTAGGAGATTCATCGATGATGATTCCAATCGAAGAGCGCAGCTGAAAAGAACTCGTAAGCATATTAGCGA